AATACTTAAAGCAGACAAATGAGGTTGGGGAATTGGGAGCATAGAATAAGAAAAAAGAAATAACAATCTTGTTTTACGATAAAATGAAAATGTCTCCACTTATCTAAACAATGTCAGATGGAAGAGCTATATCATGGCAAAGACAGACTCCACAAATAGAGCAGATGTAATGGTATATATGGAGCCTAACAATGATTACAGATATGAAATTTAACTCAGCAGCTCAAAGATGATTTCCAAATAGGTCCTAATTCAGTTATAAGTCTGATGGATCATACGTACCCATCCATTTCATTATGGAGTTCAAAACCACTAAACATTGATTGTATTTATTTATTTTCTACATACAGGTTCCCCCCTCCCCCCCCATTTCTGCAGTATTTAAGAGGATCATAAATGGAGTCATCATAAATAAATGGGAGGGGGGTAGACATTTGTTTACTCACTTTTTCTTCAAAGGAGCAAATGGCCAGTCTTGTTACTTACACTGTTAAAATGCAGACTTGGCTTTATTTAGCAGGGCTCATGAATCAGCACATACAGAATTCCTTGTGTGCGTATAGCATGTATGTTCATCTGTACGTACAGTAGACATATAAGGAATCTTCACAGCTCATAAATTAAGAATTCATTTTATCTCCTCTGAGTCGACTACTACTCAAATACATATGGAAGAAGAATATGGAAGGAAGGATCTGCCCACTAAAGCACGAAGCTGGATGGAAATCTCAGAGCTGCAGTCAGGGAGCATTCTCACTTCACGTAAGCTAATGGCAAAACACTCATCAGTTGCCCTGTGGCCAAACTTCCCTGCAGGGTCAGCATAAGCAAATAGGCAGCAAAAAGTAGCCTACGGTGACATGAATGGAAAATGTAGGCCAGCAGAAGTGCAAGCTTGTCTGGCCACAGAGCAAGGATCTGATTTCAGGGAGGCTACTGAAGCAAGCTGATGTTCTGACTGTCAATGCTCTCGCACTAGCAAAAAGTATTGCAGCCAAAAACACTGCAGTGGCCCAACGGTCACCCTCTCTTCCATGATTTGTAACAGTTTTCCCTTTTTTTTTTTTTTTTTCCCAGTGAGATTTCTGGAAGTGTTGTGTACCTGGTGTTTCGACTGCAATCCCTGCTTACTTTAAACGGGTTGCTGTGACGCCTCAAATGTCTTTGAGTTTGATGTCTTCTTTGGGATGCTAAGAGAAAAGACACCACATATATTTTATGTATAAAGGAAAAAGGGAAGGCAAAGAGGAAGGGGAAGAGGAAGGGGGAAGGGGAAAAGGAAGGGGAAAGGAAGGCAAGGAAAGGAACCCAGGTATAAATCATGATACATTTGTCAAGAATCTGATAAACAAGATGGCACATAAAAAGGTCATTAAATTCATGTTCCAAAACTTAACACTTTAAATAAAATTAATCTTCTGATTTAAGTCAGCTACAAGCCAGGAAATTGAGGCTTAAGAATGAGATCCTTTTAAAGTGATTTTATTCTAGCTTGGTTTATCAGCATATTAACCAAGAGCAAATGTGCCCTCTGCAAATTATACACATCATGAAATCTCAAGCAGTTCTGCCAAACCTGGTGATAAGTTGCTATAACAGCAGCTTGGGGGTTGAGAAATTTACTTTCCTTCGCGCTCATGGCAACAGGTGACCTAGTGGTAATGACATCATTAACACATTTCACCTTTTTAATCTCTCCCGCTGGTGTTTTACTTATGCTAGTTTATGGAGGAATCATTTCATTTTGGTGCTTGAAGTCCTTTGTGTTCTTAATGGTAACTTTAAGAAAATAAGCAGAAAAGCGGAAGGAGATTGTCCTCTGAGGTATGTGATTTGTGAGGAAACCATCCGATTCTATGAGCCGATTCCGCCTTGCATGAGAAAGAACGTGAGAATTTTTATAGCAGATTAGGTAAGAAAGATTGAGATCAATCTAATTCAGTTTCCCCTTCATGAATGGGCAATACCAGCTTTTTAATAAGGAGCTATTAGGCACTTGCCAAATTTTTTTTAGCAGCTTCTCCAGGTATACTTGGATTTATCATGCAAAGACGGGTCTGTATATTAAGCAAATGGAATAGAGTGTCTCCATTCATTATTTGACTGAGTCCTTAGGGACTCTTCACTCTAGACATGCATGGACCAGGATCTTTTATTGCTGTTGTTTGTAAATCTCATGGTGATTCTTCCGAAAATACTGTTAAATAAATTGTTTACCTCTTCTTTTCAAAAGCTATCTTTCCCACACCTCTCAAATTTATCTTTCAAATAGAAAAGAACCTGAAACCATCTTCTGTTTAACAATTGTAACTTAATAACATCCTACAACTGAGATTTCTTCTTACAAAAACATTTGTCCTTGACAACTTGCTCCCTGCAGCAACAATTTGAAAGCAAGTATATTAACCCCTGAAAGTTATTTAAAAGAAAATCCAAACAAAATAAAACAAACCAAAAAAAGGCAAACCCAAAGGAGGTACTAGTGGTACAGCACATAGGAGCGAACAGTACAATACATGGGAGTATTTCCGATGTGCGTGGGGCCAGGTCCTGTTCCATTGAAATCAATTGGACATTTCTCACCAGATTCAAAAGGATCAGGCCAAGACCCTGAACACCAAAACACAGGCTTTTCAGAATGCGATTTTGTGATGAATTTCCAAACAAACCTAAGTATTAAACACGTGTATTATACTCAGAATGCTTGGATACCACAACAGTAAGAGACATAATTGGGTTCAGTCTCAGGAAGAGAAGGCTAAGGGACAACTAACTTGGGCTAAGATAGTCTTCAACTACCTACCGGGAGGTAACAGAGAAGATGCAGCCAACTCTTCTTGGAGGTGCAGCCGAAAAGATGGGAGGCATGGACACAACGTGCAGCAATTAAAATTCCAAATAGATATTAAGAAAAACTATGTCAGTGATGGAAGTCAAAAATTGGCTACGTCTGCTGTGGAACCTCCATCACTGAAGGTATTCCAAATGTAGCTGCATATGACCTTGAGCAACCTTGTCTAACTTTGAAGTTAGCCCTGCTTTGAGTGGGAGAACTGGACCAGATGCCCTCCAGAAGTCTCTTACAAATGCAGAGGAGGAGGAGGAGAGGCAGAAGAGAGGGCAATCTCTGATTGATTTTGCATGTTCAATCCTTAGAGTGTACATTCTTAGACTATACACATCATTTTGTGATTTATTTTTGTCCAGAATATGATTTATACTTTGTAGTACTTGTATTTGGACAACATACAGCTGCAGCATGTTTTTACATTATACTAAGTCCACCAAAAAATCACGTTAAGAAGCTCTACCAGAAGTCAAGCAGGGACAGGTAGGAAAGACAGTAGAGTGGGATGATTGAAAAGCCTTCCCCCTCTTAGCAGGCAACTCATGTGACCTGTGACCCTGTGTGAATACAATACTTGGAGTATTCGCACTGACAGACTGGAGTGATTCGACAAGAATTGCTAATAAACTAGGATTTGAAAACAATTTCAGCCAGTTGTCACTAGTAAAATTAAACGTTCCTTGTGACTGTCCACACCAAAGAAATCGGTTTAGGATTTTTTAGTGTTTTTTATTAACTGCACAAGTGGAAGAAACAAGATCAAGTCTAAATCAAGGGATAAAAAATGAGGATCCTTTTCTTTGGAATGATTGCGGTCCTCATATCTGAATTTAGAAAATACATCGAGTCAATTCAGGCCAAATCCTCAGATGGCATAAACTGGTGTAGGCATAGCTGGGCTCCAGACAGCATTTGCCAGTTTGTATATGTTGAGGATCTGAATTTACTGCACTGAAACATTTGCAAGTTCAACTCCCGATGTTCTGGGTAAAGAAGTTGGCCGGGATCCAGGAACACACAAGTTATGGGTACATGAACAAGCTATTGCAGGGCATGAACATATGGAACGTCAGTCACCGTGGAGATTTTGCTCCAGAACGTGCCCTCTGTTACCACATGGTAAATTTAAGATATCCTGTACCTCTTTCACCAAGCAAGCCACTTCCCATTTACTAGGGCTAAAGAATGGGCAATTTTCAAAGACCAACTGCCTGCAAGTTCACTCTTAATCTACTTAATGGCTAGTTGTTCATTTCTCCATGCCCTTGACTAGAAAATATAGCAGCTCCTTGGTCTCAAGACAGCTCTTAAGCCTATATTGCCAAACATGTATTACAGACTCGCAGGTCTTGCTCCTGTCATACCATGAAATGCCGTTGCTCCTGAAACAAGCACTTGCCGAAGTCCACTCACAGTTCAGCCCTCATGCCATCTGACACATGCTTCGTAGCCCTCCATGCCGCAGAAAAGGCATTCCTATCACCTTATGGTATGCCCACGTGTACAACTGGACTCAATACTTCAGTACTGAGTATTGTCCCCGGGATTTTTTATTCTTACTCACTTATCACAAATAGTGACAAATAGGATCTTAGGCTACAGATAAGAACATCAATTGTCCTATGCAGTGATGAACAGCTTTAAGGTTATGTCTTTCATAATGCCAGGAAGAAAAAGTAGCAGTTGGAGAGGATCTCGGTTTCCTACAAATATTTCATGTTCTGAGTTGCAGCAAATTGTACGCCCATTATTCACTCTTCCACCTGTCTAGCACACTGAAGCCAGTCCCACAGCAAATGCACGTTAGCCACGTTCCTGAGCCCTCAGGATTCTCTGCATACAGTGTATTTTCCAAAAATCTTTAAAGACAGAGGAGTCTTTCCATTAAGCACAGTAAGTTCAGTCCCCCCAGGACGATCACGACATCACAGGAGACAACTCAAGTGTGAAACAATAGGAAAATTGTTCTTACTGCTATTACTTTGAACTAGAAATGAAAATTCCCTGGCTAGCTGACTTTTCTTACACCATCCATCACGTATAGATATTAAGTGCCTAGGCTATGGAACCATGCTCTTGTATTTCATGAACATTTTCAAGTTAAAGATTTTTATTTAGAAGAACATTTAAAAGAAAAATAGTAAATGGCACATCATGTAATTGCTATTTATTTTCATAAACATGAGGTATTTCAAAGTGCTATAAGACGCAGCACTAAATGTACATCGTTGGAAGAAATTAAACACAGAACTTTGCAGTTACCCAGTTCTATGCACCAAACATTAACAAATACATTAACTGGAAGAAACAGGCTAGGAAAAGGCATATATAGTAAATTTCTTTACAAAAGTTTCTTAGTTCAAAAAAGTGATAAAGTAATATCTACTCAAAACTTTCACAACTCATTTTCATACGAAAATATAAGTATCAAATTTAGTTATGTATCAGCATCATACTAAAGTATACAGGCAATGTAAGAATTAGTACAGTACATAACAGAGATTAACAATATATTTGTATACAAAAACATGCTCCTCAAACATTGAGGTATTACAGTACTTAGGTATGAACTTCCAGTCTAATACCGGTAGCAAAAGCCACCTCTCATAACCCAAGACATGTACAAAAGGCAAGTGTGTAGATGGTATTTACAGAAAATTCCCACAGGGGTACAAATGCCAACCCCTAAAGTAACATCTGTTAGAACATAAGCACCATAAAAATTAGGAATGAACATTTTTAAACTCAACTAGATGTCATCAGCAGCTCCAAATGCTCACAACAATAAAAAAAAAAAAAATCCCACCATCTACAGTTCTTAAGAAGAAAAACAAAGGCAGTCCATTGTTGTTTGGTAGTCTTGCAATAAAATCCTTGCAAGAACATCCATTTGCTCCGTACCCGGATAATATAGTTTGTCGACTACTTCAGGGACTGGATCGAAAGTAAAACCAACATTCTTAACGTCAAAAAACACAATTTTTTTTAAAGAATCAAAAATGTGCAAAGTGGCAATGACTGTCCTGGTCAGCCAAAAAAAAAAAAAAAAAAAAAAAAAAAAAAAGTTTAGCAAGTCCGCTTGTATTCCATTTTCTTTAGCAATTGTTGTTGTCTGGCTTGCAATTTTTCTTTTTCTAGCAATAACTTCTGCTCCTCTGCCTGAAGGGAATGGACATATTCAGTGGCTTTTTTCAAGATCACAACTTTTGCAGCTTTCTCATTTTTAACCAGTTCTGGAACATGGTCCCTTAACGTGAGAAAACTTGACCGCAGATCGTTGCGCCGTTGACGCTCCAGGATATTATGGTTACGTCGACGTTCACTATCCTCTGAGTCAGAATTTCGAGGACTTGAACTCTTAGGCTTTGGTTGGATCGTGGGTTTCACTGGACGGGGCACCTCGGTTTTTAACTTTTTCGGTGGTGGAGCATCTTCACTCTCCATATACGGAGAAGGAGCGGCGTAATTATGCTGCTGGTGAATTGGTGCACAACGCTTTAAAATCAGTTCATTCTGCTGTGTCCTGACCGACGGAAAAGCGGTATTTTTAGGACGCACTGTAATAGTAAGCGTGGTAACAGCCTTGTTAGAGGAAGAACGCCTTTTCTCCACTGTCACAACATCGATTTCTTCTTCTTCATCCTCTTCCTCATCATCTTTTGGCAATACAAAATGGAAAATATATGTTATTCTCATAGAAAATACTTGGAACAAACACCAACCCAGAGGCATTTAGTGACAAATTATGTACCGCAAAGGCAGCAATGAAATATCTGATAGTAAAAATAGGGTGTGTCCACTATCTGTAGTCAGATGTAGATCTAGGAAAGCATGCAATGTATACAAACCCAGATGTAATATATTCAGAGCCAGACTTAAGAACAGTTATTCTGAAAGTTTAACGTTATAACTTTATGGGGTTTTTTGAAAACTTCTGATTTTCAATAAAAGCGGCGCTACCACCTACATCATCTCCCCAGCAGAAAGAGTTTTTAGAAAGAATGCCTGAATTTTTCCTCCAACCATAGAGCAGGGGTACAAAATGCATGCATTGAGTCACACGGCAGCCCTCGGTTGGTGGAAAAGCAGCCGGAAAATGGAACAATTGCTGGGTTTGTTCTGCTGCAGAAGGTGAAGCTGCTCCAGCCGGGGACCCTTTAAGCCGGCGTTTGGTGCACTGCCAAGAAGACAGCTGTTGGAAGTGCTTCCTCACCCAAAGCTGTCAAACCAGACATTAAAGGGACAGCAGGCTTTGAAACTGGGGACAGATCACCAAGTTTATGGCGACGGTCGTAGGGACTGGCTCAGTCACACGCACAAAAACCCGTTTTAACCAAACCGGACTTTTCTGCCCGTGCGGACAGGAGAGATGCTTCCGGGCATTTTAAGAGCCTGCCAGTGCGAAGCCAAGCTTTCCTCTGCGGGGTCACGAGCCTGCTCCGGCCCTCCAAAATCATGTGCAAGGGCACCCACGTCATCCTCCTCCTCCAAGGAGGATGGCACCGGCGGCCGGCGCTGCCCGAAGGGGCCTCCGGCAGGGCACGCACCGCGCTGGGCCAGCAGACAGCCAACCGCC